AGAGGTTAGAGTATTGATTTGAAATATTCTATCTTTTCTAATGTGTGTATTTGTACTATAAATTTTCCTATCATTACTGTTTTAGCTGTGTCCTAGAAACTTTGATATTTTTATTGTAATTTTTATTCAATTCATTGTATTTTTTGTTTTCCCTTGAGAATTATTTTTTGACTCATGGGTAATTTAGTAGTGTGTTGCTTTAGTTTCCAAGAGTTTAGAGAATTTTTTTCTATTGCCTTTCTGTTATTGATTTCTATCTTTATTCCATTTTTGTAGGAGAGTACTCTGTATCATTTCAGTTCTTCTAAATTTGTTAGATATGTGTTGTGGCCCAGCATATGGTCTATCTTGGTAATATATAAGTTCCATAGACACTTGAAAACAATTTGTATTCTGCCGTTGTTAGTTGGAGTGTTCTAAATATGTTGGTTGGTGGTGGTATTGTGTTCTTCTATATCTTTGCTGATCTTCTAAGTGCTCTATCAATTCCTGAAAAGAAGGATGTATATACAGACACTATAACTCTGTGTTTGTCTTTGTCTCTTTCAGTTTACCAGTTTTTGTTTGACTTGTTTTGCAGCTCTGTTGTTTGGCACATACACATTGGGATTGGTGTCTAATTGGTAGATTGGCCCGTCTGTCATTACATAAGGTCCTTCTTTGTCTCTAGTAATTTTATTTTTTCTGTAGTAGGTGATTATCTGATATTAATATAGCCATTCCTGCTTTCCTTTGATTAATGTTTGAATGATAGATCTTTTTTATTCTTTTATTTTCCACCTGCCTATATTATATTTGAAGTTGGTTTCTTATAGACAGCATTCTTTTTAAAACATTATTATTTGGTTTTTGTTTGTTATCCTTGTTTCTTATTGCTCTGTTTTTCCTGCCTTCCTGTGGATTACTTGAACATTTTTTGGAATTCCATTTTGATTTATCTGTAGCGTTTTTGAGTATATCTCTTTATATAGCTTTTTTTAGTGGTTGCCTTTTTAGTGGTTGTATATGTATTTTATCACAGTGTACTGGTGGTGTCATTTTACCAGTCCAAATGAAGTATAGAATCTTTACTTCCTTTACATCCCTTTACCCTCCCCCATTTATAGTATATCTGTCTTAAATATTATCTCTACACACACTTAGAACCACAACAGGCAGTGTTATAATTTTTGCTTCAATAGTAAAACATAATTTAGGACACTCAAGAAGAAAAGGAAAACCTATATATTTGCTCATATTTTGCTTATCATGTTCTTTTTTCCTTCCTGGTGTTCCAGTGTTCCTTTGATTGCTTCCTTTGTGTTTATAAGACTGCGTATAGCCATTTTTTAGACTAGCCCCAATGGCAACAAATACTTTATTTTCCTTCATCTGAAAAATCTTTATTTTTTATTCCCGAAGGGTATTTTCACTGGTTGCAGGAAACTGAGTTGACAGTTCTTTTTTTCAGCACATAAAAATACTTGACCATTTCTTCTGGCCACCATAGCTTTTGATGTAAAATATGCTGTCATTCTAAGTGTTTTATATCCTGTAGATGAGGTGTCATTTTTCTCTGGCTGTTTTGTAGATTTTTTATTTATTCTTTGTTTTCAGATGTTTAATCATGATGTGTCTTGGCATAAATTTCTTCAGGTTTATTATGTATGGAGTTTAGTTAGCTTCTTTAAATCTATACATTATGCTTTGGGGCCAGATTTGGGAAGTATTCAGCCATTATTTTTTAGGGACTATTTCATCCCTGCGCTCTTTCCTCTCTCCTTCCAGAACTCCAGTGACCCAAATTAGATGTTATAATCCATAGATCCCTGAGGCTTTGTTCATTTTTTTCAGTCCATTTTCTCTGTTATGCAGATTGGGCAATATTTATTGCTGTATCTGCCATTTAACTAATTTTTTCTTCTGTCCCTTCAATTCTGCTATTGAGCCCATCCACTGAGCTTTTTTTTTTTTTTTTTTTTGGTTATTATATTTGTCAGTTCTAAAATACTTACTTGATACTTTTTTACATCTTCTAATTTTTTGCTGAGTGAGACTTTTTCTTTCTTTCCTGTGGCTTGCTATTTTTTTTATTTCCCAAACATGTTCATAAGTGCTTAGTGAAGCATTTTTAAAATCACACATGGTTTAGAATCCTTGCCAGAAAATTCTAACATCCCTTTCATCTCAGTTGTTAGCATCTACGGATGACTTTTTACATTCTGTTTGAGATCTTCCAGGTTCTTGGAATGACAGGTAACTTTGGATTGAAGCAGGATATTTTCTTATTCTTCTCTGAGATATTTTGTATCTTATTTAAACCTTCTATTTTAGTTGACTTTCTCTGACATTGCTCCATTAGGAGAAACAGGGAAGCACTGCATTTTTACTGCCATGTGGAGGTAGAAATCTAGTTTCCCCACTTGGACTCTGCTGATATCCAGAGAGTAAGCAGCTCCTCATTACTGCTTGGCAGGGGTGGGAGTTCCAGATCTTGTGTGGTGTCCACGAGTAGGGGTAGCCTCATTGGTGTTGATCAATGGTGAAAGTCCTAACTCTCTACTAGGCCTGCCCTGATAGCACCACAGTGGGGAGGGAGAAGGATACCTCATTACTGTCTAGCTGGAGTGGGGAAGGGGGTGGATTTCAGGCCCTCCACATGGTCTCCACTGACTTCATGAGGTGGGATACCTTGTTACCAGTCAACAGAGATGAAAGTACTGTTTCCCTATTTGACTTTCTCTGTTACCATGCTGGTGAGGATGATAGGGTACGGCATTACACCTTGATTAGGGTCTGATGTAGGCTTCCCACTCATACTTTCTGGTATGAGTAGGTGGGTCCACAGTTTCTCTGTGGTGATGGCTGGAGTACAGTAGTTGTCCACAGGTTTTCTGTCTTGCTGGGCTGCACCTTTCTTGGTTCTTTGGCTAGAGAAAACAGGCTTTTGGGGGGATTTTTTTTTTTTTGGTCTACACTCATTAGTCTGTGTGGGTTGCTAGTGTCTTTGCTTCAAAGTCTAGGATATATGAGGCAAAAAGATAACTCTGGGAATGCCACTATGTTGTTTCTTAGGCCCTGGGGTCGTTAGCCAGTCTGCCTTCTGCTTTCCTCCTCTCAGAGTCTTGTTATATTTGTCTTACATATAGTGTCCAAATTTTCTCAGTCATACTTAATAGGAGGAATATAGAAAAGTATGTGTATAGTTAGAAATTTTAGATAACATTAGATCTGTCTCTCCTGGTGAATTCAAAACTTAATTTTAACATACTCTTAAGGAAAACCTTTGTAACGAGATTTTAGCAGGGTCTTCCTTAAATCACTAGGATTAGTTTGTATTTGTAAGGAGAGAACTTGTCCTATTTTATTTCATTTTATTTATTTATTTTTATTTTTTTAGAAAGAGAGAGAACGTGAATGGGGGCTGGAAGGGAGAGGCAGAGGGAGAGAGAGAGAGAGAATCTTAAGCAGGCTCCATGCCCAGCATGAAGCCCAAAGCAGGGCTTGATCACACAACCCTGAGATCATGACCTGAGCCGAAATCAAGAGTTGGACACTTAACCAACTGAGATACCCAGGTGCCCCAGAAATTGTCCTATTTTAAATTAATGACAGAGACACTTACAACCATTATTCTTAGGTAATCTTATTTTGACAGAAAAATAAAGTTATAATAATTATGATGTGTAGAAAAACAAGTATATTCAAATATACTTCAAATGCTTATAATTTTAATGTTCTTCTCATATATCTCTTACCTCATTATATTCTTTTACAGTTAAGTGGTAGAAAACAAAATTGTATAGTCATAAAATCCAAAATGTTTTTCGAAAGTAAATTATTGTTCTTAATGACTATATATGTCTCTATTATCTCCAAAGTACCAAATTGGTATAATTAATTCATTGAATATTTATTTAAAACATTGTGTAAAAAATAGTATGTTCTGTCATTGCACTAGAGATATAATGATGAGCAAAACATACACAGTTCCTGCTTTAATCAAATGTGCTATTCTTTTACAATAAATTAGCAAAATAAAAATGAAATCAAATCTTCTATGAAAACATTTTATGTGTTTTTATGAATAGTGCTGCTCAGGAAAATTAGAATATTATCTCTTGAATATGTTACTCCAAATACTGTAGATAGAGAAAAACAGACTTCTCAAACAGTGGCATTTATCACCAACATTTATTGAAATTAAATTGAAAACAAAAATTATATCATGAAACATTCCATTGATATACAATGAACAGATTTCAGTAGATTCTGAAATATCTCATGGATTTTTAATACCAGTTTAGAGCGCAACATAGTTTAGACAATGTTACTCCATGAAGGCGGTGCTTGTTAATTGTTTATATTAGCTGAAAGCGGTAAAATCATCCAAGGACTCTGTTAGTGTTAGAATAATAATTTACCAAGACAATTACCACATACTGGAATTTTTTGCAGCTCTAATTCAGTATTATTAATAATGGATAAAATTGCACTTTTCTCAGGTTGCTGTGGGCAGCAGGGAATTATTTCAATGAATATTTCAGCACATTATTTTAATCATTGTTCCACCAAATCCAACTAGGCAATATTTTATGGTTCTTAATTCAGTCTACTAAGAAACCGTGGTCATTAAATTGCAAACTATTTGTACTGAGGTCTGTCCTGTGATTTACAAGCCTTGTTAAAAACAGTGTAAAAGAATGAAAACTGTGCCATTAATACTTGTAATTGTTACTAAACTCCCCATGATTAATGTTTTCAGGAGAAGGAAGAACATTGTAGAGAAAGCAGAACTGAGTATTACAGGGCTTAAAATATAAGAATGTTACTATTTTAAGTTTTGGTCATTTGTACAGGAAACATGTATGTAAACACAATTGTAAAAGATAAAGATCTCCAAAATCATCTTAATTTTCCTTTGAGACCAAGGAAATAAAGCTTTAATGTTGTGTAAAAAAATATATTTCCCATTTTACATTGTTATTAATAGTGACGACTGTTTATTTTCTCATTCCTAGCCAACTGCATGATTTCTGGCGTTTGGATTACTGGGAAGATGATCTTCGCCGAAGGAGACGGTTTGTTCGTAATGCGTTTGGCTCCACTCACGCTGAAGCACTCCTCAAGGCTGCAGTAGAGTATGGTCAGTACCAATGCCTCTTACACAAAAATACTCTGGATATGACGTAACTCTTTGTGGTTGGTAATTCATTTTTTTCACTAACACATAAAATTCTCCATGTTGTAAGTCAAAAATACTGTGTTCTGCTTTATCCTTCAGCATCATGTAGGTGACACTTAATCAACCCAGTTCTTCGCCCATGATGTGTGTTAGACCTTTCAGCTTCTTAATAGACTAAAAGACCTTATGTAACTGGTTATTACCCAACGTCTATCTCATACAGCCTAAAACAAGAGTAAAGTGAGTTTCTTTTTCAGTGTCTTTCAAACTTTGGTGACCAAGACACAAGGTGTAAAAAATATATATGATTATAATTGAGTACTCAGACTTAAATATTTTTATGGATAATTTGTATATATATACACACACTCATGTATACTGTGTGAATATACATATATACATGAAATATATATGCACATACATGTGGCATTTGTATTTATATATATATGCACATAGTTGTGTATTTAACTGAAACAAATGCCTTATTAATAATCTCATTACATGACATTCTCTATTTTATTAGTAGTCTATTCTTTTCTGTCTAAAAAAATAAAATTAAAATAAATCCTGCTACAATATGTCCATTTAAGTTCCCAGCCCTCCTTTGGGTTGCAAATAAAGTTTAAAAAAGACCATCTCACATTAAAGATATCATCAACTGTCACACTACAGTAGAACTAACCTAATTTGTCTTTTAAAAAATGTATAATAAATAGAAAACATGAAAATACTTGCTGTCTACCAAGAAGTATAAATAGGACTATTTTGTCCCATTTTTAAGTGCTCTAACAAGTTTAAGTGTGATTTACCATCTCAAAATTTTACAAACTCTGTACACTCAGAAAATACCGTTGATGAATACTGTTTATACATTTTTGTTATTAACCACTTTTATTCTTACAATTACTTTTGTTATTATTAGGTTAATTTTCATTTACTTGAGTGTGATAAGTGAGCCATCTGTTTTAAAATTTACCATAGTTTATAACATTCGTAACTATTCATGTTCTTGATGGATTAAACAGAGAAAATACTTAATCTTGATAAAAAGAAAATGTGCAAAGGTTTTAAAATTTGTTGTGCAAATAGTCTGTGAATTGATATAACTTAGTAAGAGTCAAACATAGTTAAATAAATACACGAGGATTTCATATGAAGCTATTATGCCTAAGATAAAAGTTACAACATAACTTTATATGATAAAAGTAACTAACAGAAAGATTATACTAGAAAGAAAACTTATAGTTGACCAGTACTATAGGGGATTTCTTCAATCAACAAGAGAGATCACCAAAGGGATTTTTGAGCACCTAAGGATTTAAACTTAACTTGAGGTATTATAATTATGCTTAAAATGAGGTATTATCTTTATGCTCTGTAGAAGAGATTTTTAGAAATACCTACTTCAAGTGGCATGCTTTGTAATGTAAACTTAAAATTATTTAAACTCCATTTCGTATACCCAATAATTTAGACTTTTTCACCAACTCATCCTATTTGAATTCATCCCATTTGAAAACAGAAACATCTAGAGATAATTTGTAACAGAGTTAGGCTAAATTGATATTATTGGTAATAATGAGTTGCCAAGGGTTTAATTACATAGGATCCACATTTTACTACATTCAGCATTCTATAGGTTGCTTTTAAAAAGTCTCTTAGAAAAAAAATTTTTTGGTTCTCTATAAAAGTGGAAACTTGGTTTAATTTATAAAATATCTCTATTATTAAACCATTGTTAAAGCCTATCAGAAACAAATTTTAAAATCTTTTACCTTAAAATCTTTTTTTTTTTTTTAGATTTTATTTATTTATTTGACAGAGAGAGACACAGCGAGAGAGGGAACACAAGCAGGGGGAGTGGGAGAGGGAGAAGCAGGCTTCCCGCG